ACAAATGCTTTAAATGGTCCTCTGCTCTCAATGACTTAACTAGCATATCGTCAATGTAAACTTCCATGCATTTTCCTATTTGTTCTTCGAACATTTGATTTACTGGGCGTTGGTAAGTCGCACCGGCATTTTTTAATCCAAATGGCATTAAGTTATAGCAGTATGTGCCATACTTAGTGATGAAAGAGGTTTTTTCTTAATCATCCGGGTTCATCCGTATTTGGTTGTACCCGGAGTAGGCATCAAGTAAACTGAGGATCTCGTGGCCGGCTGTGGCATCGATCATGCGATCGATGTTAGGCAAAGGGAAAGAGTCTTTGGTGCATGCCTTACGTAAATCTTTATAGTACACACACATTCTCAGTTTGTTCCCTTTTTTAGGGACCATTACTACGTTTTCTAACCATTCTGGGTATTTGACCTCCCGGATGGACCCTATTGACTTCGGACTGGGGTCTCTTTTTCTGTTTGACAGGATGGAATTTTGAGTCCAGGCTCAGCTTGTGAATAATGATCTCCGGTGGGATCCCTTTCATGTCAAGATGGGACCAAGCAATGAAATCCATATTAGCTATAACAAATTGAATAAGTTTTTTCCTGAGCTCGGGAGTTAACCCCGTGCCCAAGTATACCTTCCAATCGGGCTGGTGTTCGATCAGTATTAGATGCTCCAGCTCTTCAACCGTGGATTTGGTAGTGTCGGAATCATCGGGGGCTACAAAGGATCGAGGAACCTCGTAACTATCGTCTCCATCAGTCCCCTGCTTGTCCGGTTGGGTTGAGGCTAACATCGGTGATTGCTATTTGGCTTCTTGTTTTGCCTTTGAACCTGGCTCCTTTGTCGATGAGAGTGTTGATATCGGAATTACTTCATCAATAGCAAACATCTCCTTTGCAGCGGGTTGCTCCCCGTAGACCGTCTTTATCCCCTCTGGTGTTGGAAATTTTAATACCAGGTGAAGGGTCGAAGGCACGGCCCTCATTTTGTGGATCCATGGTCTCCCGAACAGGGCGTTGTATTACATGTCCCCCTCGATTAAATAGAACTTTGTTTCCTGGGTGGTACTGGCAACGTTTACCGGCAACATTTCTCCCTTAGTAGTTTGGCAAGCCATGTTGAATCCATTCAGCACTCTGGCCCCACGTACGATCAGGTCCTGTAGGCCGAGTTGTTTTACTACCTTCGACCGAATGATGTTGGCCGAGCTACCTGGATCAATTAGCATACGTTTAACTCTAGTTTTATTCATAAGCATAGAAATTACCAGTGCATCATTATGAGGTTGCATGATTCCTTCTGTGTCCTCGTTGTTGAAAGATAGAGTCCCTTCTTGTAAGTAATCCTGAGTCCATTTTTCTCTTGTGATTGACACTTTAGTGCATTTCATCATCGGACCTTAAGGAACATCGACCCCTCTAATGATCATATGGATGACGTGTTGGGGTTCGTCTATTCATTTTGTTTGTTGGAGTCCCTATTTCTGAAGTGATTCTTAGCTCGGTCACTTAGATATTCTCGAAGACGACCGTTGTTGAACAACCGGGCTACTTCTTCCCTCAATTGTCAACAATCCTCCGTCTTGTGGCCGTGTGTGCCATGGTATTTGCATATTTGGTTAGGATCCCTTTGTGTTGGATCAGTTTGCAAAGGTCGAGGCCACGTGGTTTCTTTGATGCGCCCGATAGCCGATACGACGGCAGCTACATCAACATTAAAGTTATACTCTGACAATCGTTGTGCCTCTTTGGGTCCCATAGATCAATCGAAGCCGTTCTTGCTCATGAGTCCCTGTCAGCTTGAACATCGATTATTTCTTTTTTCATTTCATGCAGAGTTTCGCCCAGATCCATGTTCCTATGGTCTCCATTATATGGTTGATATCGATCTCTATTCGACCTTGGTACTCTGTCAATATCCCTCTTGATTCTATCGACGAGTATGATAGGATAAACAGACCCAGAAGGAGCCCCCAGTTGATCATCCACGACCCTGATCTTCGACTGATACCGATTGTGCATATCGGCCCAAGTGACAGCTGGGTATTCGATCGAATTCTACTTCAACTGTTGTGAAGCCACTGAACTTCGAACGTTGAGACTTTGAGTGAAAGCTTGAACAGCCCAATCGTCGGCGAACGGTGGCAAGTCCATCCATTCCATTGGGAATCAAGACACGAATTTTCTAATAATCTCGTTACCATTCTGCCTTACCTTGAAAAGGTCTGGCTTTCTGGTTTCGACCTTGATGGCACCGGCGTGTGCCTTTATGAAAGAATCTGCAAGCATAGCCAACGAGTCAATATAATTAGGCGGTAAATTATGGTACCATATCATAGCACCCTTCGACAGGGTCTCCCCGAATTTCTTCAGCAAGACGGATTCGATCTCGTCATCTTCTAAGTCATTCCCTTAGCATACGTGTAGGAGGTGACGTGTTCGTTTGGATCAGTTGTCCCATTATACTTAGGAATCTCAGGCATGCAAAACTTCTTGGGATTGGCTTCGGAGCCGCACTCGGGGGGAAAAGTTTTTGTACGAACTTTTGGAATCCAGTCCTTTCAATATTGGTGGTGCCCCTGGGATTTGGTCGACCCTGGGGTTATAGATTTCCACCTTCTTGTCGTTTTCCTCGATCTTCTTTTCCCCTATCTCGATACGCTTTGCCAATTCTTCGAGCATCTTCATGATAGCATGATTGGTCTCCGATTCCTTCTCGTTCGATTTCCTCGAAACTGATTCGACCCTGTGTATGATTTCCTGGGATGGCTCGAGTTCGACCCTGCTCGTGTGGTTCTGGTTTTGGAGCTGGGCTATTGCTGCCTGTTGAGCGTGTAACATTTCGAAGATCACACGTAGGCTGATCCCGCCATCTTCACCGCCACGTGCGCTCTGAGTAGCTAATCGGACATCCCCGCGAATGCTGCTTTCGGGATCGACGGCCAAATTTCTACTGATGGCTACATGTGAACTGACGTCGATTGGATCTACAGCCGGGACTCCATCGAGGCCAACCGGGGGTACATCGTTCCCTGGTGCTATGTTATCATTTTCATCGTGGTGGCCAAAGTCGTTGTCACTGTGTAGGGGTGCTAACTGAGAGTTCGACATTTTGTAGTCCTGTAATCAAAGATACTTCAAAGAACAAGTGTAAAATAGTGTGTTTCACAAAAGTTTGTACCAGGTAATCACTATTATCCTTAGCCCAACGGTTGGCGCCAAACTGTTTACCCCTAAAATCGGATAACAATTGAATTTATACGCAATTTTATGGACACGTGATATAACTTGGCACAAATTAAGAAGAATAAATTAATATTGATTTGACTATGAAAGAATAAATGCAAACCATACAAATTGAACAGCCTTGGCCCTCGAGTTTGTCACCCTTGAACCAAATATGTTTCAACTGGCTTATGAACAGAATAACAAGATAATAAAAGCTAGAAAATGACAGTATATTGTTTTGTATTGCGTGAATATGATCTGGTTTACAAATGATTAGACCCCCCCCCCCCTTCTCCCCCTTTATATAGTATGGGAGTCCTACTCTAAATACAATTCTATATGAGGTAAGAAATCCCATGATTGGCTAATTAATCGGCCTCTTCTTGATACGTGCCAGGATTCGCGCCGTGATCCTTGCTCGATTGCAGATATTTCGATTTCCGTTATTTGGCTCGGTAAGCTTCCTTCGATCTCTATCTTGTTCGGTCTCGATCATGGTCAATCTCGATCTTTGATCGGTCTCAGGGCCACGAGCTCGTCAACCTAACTTTGCATCTTGGTTTGATATAACTCGACGTTGAACCTCGGCCCATCATGTTCTGGTCTCGATTAATCATACTAAAGGGCAAACCCAATTTTGACCATGTACAATTAGGTTACTTAAAACATATTACAAATAACTGTTAGTGAAACCAGCTACGATTCCTCAGTTTAATTGGAATATTGTGAACAGCAGTACTTTATAGGTGGCAGAAATTATTGGCATTTAGGAATTAAACACATTATTAGACCTAATTAATAGAAAGGTCACATATGCAGAATTTTTAGCCAGCCTAGCTGATACACGAATAATTGTGACAGAGCAGGGATTAGGTTCCTTCTTTTTTGGCCTTTTATTTTTGGGTTGGGTGGGGGGGGGGGGGGGTTGGAGGAGCACTATTATATGTGTACCAGAACAAAAAGCCAAAAATAGGTCAAATCTCTCATTTGGTTCTGTCTCAGTTAAAGGACAACTAAGCACGTCTATTACAGAAAATCCAATAGGAGTGGCATATTCTGTTAACTAACATTCGTTAAAAGCTGAGTTAACATGCAACCTAAGCAGCTACTTTATCCTGCAGATCTTGTTCATTTGCTGTTTATAAGTAGGAACATTAAAATCTTAACGATCAAGATCGATTGGCTCCAAAAGTTCATTTTATAAAGATGATGTTCAGACCCGCTTGCAGTCAAAATCACTTGCTTGTGATGGAAGTCATTCCCTGAAAAGACGAAGTCCGGATGTAATTCAGCTCAAACAAAGTGAGAGACTTATAAATTATTATCGTTCAGTTCATGTGACGGACCGAACAAATCAAATCAACATAACGTATACTACTTTACACATGCAGAGTTACCGGGTAACTCTGCTCACCAAGAAATGGTCATATGGCAAAAAAATCACACGACTTCAATTTCCCAAATGGAATTCAGACCTTGGTCTCCCATGGTTGACCCACTTCAACTACCAATAAATCCAAAACTATTCTTACACATTCCCGAATAAAGAATTATTTATATTCATATACTTTGAAAACAAGATAAAATCCTATATAGTGATAATGATATGCAAATGAATACAAGCCATGCTTCGCATTAAGCAATAACCATAGAGATCGCAATTACCTGGCTTCTCGGTCACCAAAAATCAAAGCAATGAGCAAAATTGGCAACCTTGTTATCAAGGATTTCTATGTATAAAGTATAAACAAAAGCAATAAAAAAACACTATAAGGTCAGAGAAAATGCAACACAAGAATATATAAGAATAAATTAGTCCCTATCCAAAAATTTCCCAACATGAGGAAAAGCCCAAAAAATGTGAAATATTATCTGGGAGCATAATCAGAAATGGTGTACACTATGGAATATAGAGTTATGCACAACTTTAAACTAATAGCAGCTCCCTCCCCATTTGTCGAACAGACATGCCGGATCCTGAAAAAACCTTCTCTAAGAAGTATATACAAAACAACCCTTCACTCACCAAATCTGAGTACTCATCCAAACATTCAAAATAGTTTGTAGGAGACATAATTGTTGGACATCTTGCAGAATCCTCAATATGGGCTTCACAAGGAGCAATGCGAAACTGCACCCTCGACATTTACAAAAAAGAAAAAAAGAACATAACCTTCCCAGATCAGCCACTTTCTCTCATGCAATTACCGGGCAATAGAAACTTATATCGATCTGCATTTTCCAAAAGAAAAGCGGGAAGGTGAACGGCTGAGTAGGAGTGCGGAATAGGTCCCATTTTGCCTATGATCTCCCTGAAAGTGTACTCCTCTGGTAGCATATCAAATAAATCAGCCCCTTCGCAAATTACCTTTTGCACTCTCTTAGGATTCAGAAAATGAGAAAATCTGACCCTGTCAAAATGGCTGTAGGCTTTCATCTTGAATATAAACTCACTTATGAGGCGGAAACAAAAGCTACAATGCCACCCTGCATCCGCCAAGATGATATCTGACTGTCGAAAATGAGCATACCTCGTCTTACCAGATTGGTATCTGTGCACGGAAGCTCTCCAGCTATTGTTATCGACAAGGAATTCAAAAGAGTAGAGGTAGTTCTTCAACCGAAGATGAAGAACTGCAGGTATGTCATCGCACCACCTCAATAGATTGATGGTATGTCTACTAGGTATCTCATCAACATCTGACATTATCAGCAAATCATCATCCTGAATACCAGCTTGTTTGAGGAGATAATCCAATGCAAGTCTCTGATAAGCTTCCTCAACAAAAGGATTCTCTCCTTTCCTAAATCTCCCGGGGATTTGTCCATATGTCAGTCTTGATTCAACAAAGTCAAACTGATCTCTGTGATTAGCAAAGTACGAAGGCTTTGGCAATCCGGTGAATGTTGAATTTGATTCGAGCAAAACAAACTCTGTTATATAAGGGTACAACTCCTTCCACCGTATGGTAAGCATCTCCACCTCATTACTGAACAACACTGCATCAAAGACACGCCGAGGGTACTCACGAATTCCCCACCCATGAAGTTTACAGAGATTCTCCATTGACACATTCTCATGATAATAGTGAGGCATTTCATGGAAAGGCTTTGGCGGCTTTTCCCACAAAGGCCGTAGGAAGTAAGTGATTTTCTGTCCATGCACATATATACCAAAGATACTAGTTGGAATCAACACGAAAAGAAAGATATATGTTTTCAGGTCCAAGCCACGAAGGATGCATTTTAATCTCGACATGCTCAAGGCTCGACCAGCGTCCTGCAGTCAACAAAACCATGGTTTGAGGAAACTAAGAACCGAGGATAGTACTCATCAATGGTACAAAAAAAGCATACACATCCTGTATCCCAGAGCTCTAATTCATAGGCAAAAAAACTATTGAATACCAAAATAAACTACAGTATTTTAAGTTTGAAGAGCACACATTAAGTAGAAGCAAGATAAGTCCCGAGCAGAGAAAGAAACCTCATCGTATCCTGTCACAAATTAAGACAGGAAGAAAAAAGGGGAAAGAGGTAGGGGATTATTCAGTACCTAACCAGATTGTATTGTGCTCATTATTCCTGGGCTACACCTAGCTTAGCCTATCCAATATCCGAGGTGTCCATGGGTAAGCAACCGCTGCTTATCAATTAATAGAGCCAGCTCCACGTCCGAGCCTTCGGCTTCTTAGGCGCATGAGGAAGCGGCCTAACATCTTTTAAATCGAAATCCCAATGAAAGACAAGTTCTACCAAGGCCACCCCCAAGATGAGTAATTCCAGATATATGCTTAAAACAAAAATTATGCTTCAAGCAAAAGTAGAAAGATACTTGATGCTAGGGTAAGCAAAGAACAAACAAACTTGGTGAAGGGGCACTTCCATTTAACATAAAAGGAAAGTACTATGAAGAGGAACAATCTAGAAGGCAGAATTCTCACAATCTCCTTCTCCTTGATCAAAATGATTAAAAAACAGCCAAAGAAAAAGCAAGCAGAGCAGGAAAGCATACAGGAATATAGAACCTTGAATCAAATCAAATCTAGCTTCTTTTCTTCAATACGGGCTAATACTTCGAACATTCTTTTGTATCTAGAAAATTAAAAACAGAAACAGGAAAAATAAAAGCAAGGAAACCAAGAATGCAACCCCAGAAACAAATCTAAAAACATTAATCAATTACATTAAGGAGAATATAAAATAGTTGAAGAGGAAAAAGAAAAGGAGAAAACTTTACCTCATAACAAATATCATCCTTCTTCTTAGAACAATACCCAGATTCCCCTTCAGCCAAGATATAAACTTTCTCCCAAAATCTAGTGATACCCCACATCTTTCTCCTTTTCTCTAACTGTATTTCTATCTAACCCCCTTCAATTTACAGATCAAACTCCAAATCAACCCACAATTCTACTTGTAATGCAACCCGCAAATCAATCAACCAACAACATGATACCACCTACTTCGGGCTCAGAAAAAAGTGGAAAGATTTATAAATAGAGCAACCAAAAATAAACTAGATTTTTTTCAAGCCCTTGAAATTAGTTGTGACCCTGAAAGAATGGATTGAAGAATAATAGTTAAAAAATAATAAAAGTAAAAATTGGGAGGAATTTGCGGAAGAATGAAATTAGGAGACAAAAATATAGGCCAGAAAGGGTGAAGTGTTTTTATGGGGTGGGCAGTTGTAAAGAAGATTTCATGGAAGCCGTTTCTCTCGTCTTCTGCCCCACTTCTACCGGCTAATACAACAAATCATTTGTTTCTCTTCTTTTTATTTTCAATTAGGGTACGATATTACCCTTTGCATTACATATTATTTTATTTATTTAAAAATAAAATATAGTATGAAGCAAAATATTTGTATAAACGGTGCCGGCCAGTTAGAATTATCTTAGAAAACCTCAAATATTGATTATTAAATTTAAATAAGTTTAAATAAAGATAATAACATTCATTTAGTCAACGTCAACTAACTTGAAAACAAAACACTTATCGATATAGTTATTCATCTAATCATAATTGTCTCTAGGTAAATGGATAATTTGAATTGGGAATAATTTATCTTATTTATTTATTTCATTTTATACTGTTGACATATTATTTAAAAAGTAATATAAACTCCCACACATTTTTAAATACATCAATGTTATTTCATTCAAACATAAGAGTCGATATTCAGATTGAGATAGAGAATAAAATAATTTTAGGTTATACTAAAAATATCATTATTATTATTCTTCTTTATAAAGAAGAGAGTAACCATCTTACCTTTTTTTTCAAACAAAAAAAAAAGAGCAAAGTACGTAGAATTATAGCCTTACGTTTTAAATTCAAATGTATGGGCAGTTTAGTCATTTAATATTGCACATGCCCCTTACCTTAAGAGCCAAGTCTTGTTACGCGTCGAATTGACGGGCTCGATGCAACTTCGTTTGCTTGTCGCGTGGCATAACGATGAGATTAATTACTATTGGGGTTAACAAGTACGTTTGATTGAGAAGTTTATGTTATATTAAATTACATATTTATATCATGCCATAAAGTTTTAAATTTTGTGGACAGGTGGCGAATGAATTTTCCCGTTAGCAACTTAGCATGATAATGTCATTGTCCTGGCCACTGGCTAGAGAATCATGTTAGGTTATTATAATCACCAATTTTCTTACTATATCAAGAAACAAAGTGGAGATCAAAGTTTGAAGGTGACTACTCAAGCTAATTTTTTAGCAGAAAAATCTGCAGTCTCTCTATATAGTACTAGCTTCAGGGTACGCGCTTTGCGCGTTGTTATGACCCCAAACTGCATCCGTAGGATGTCGTAATGGAACTTAGTCTCTAAGACTAGGTAAGTCGATCACTGTACAATTAAGCCAGTTTTAACAATGATAATTTGAAACATAGTTTAACATAAATACCGTATCAAAAGCGGAATAATCTTACCCGGCAATAATCATAACCTCCCAAGATTTGGTAATACAGAGTCACGAACTCTAGCTAAGTACATGGAAAGATCTCAAAGATCGAAGTACAATACTGTTTCAACAACAAGCTAACAATACAATGTAAGGAAAGGACTCCAAGGGACTGCGACGACCAAGTAGCTCTACCTTGAAACCTCGCGATCAACAAGCTAACTCTACCCGAGTCCGATATCTCCAATACCTGGCTCTGCACAAAATATGCAGAAGTGTAGTATGAGTACACTATGGTCGGTACCCAGTAAGTATCAAGGCTAACCTCGGTGGAGTAGTGACAAGGTACAGGTCAAAGACACTCACTAGACAAAATAACCTATGCAGTATAGAAGTATAAAGCTACTAATGGAAAGCAGGAATCAGTAAATGGCAACAGGAATCAATATGTGATATAAACAGTAAGGCAATAGGAACATTATGAAAGTACCATTGAAACCAAATAAGGAACACAATGACAACCAATAAAATCAAGCCGTTCTAACACAAGTTTCACAACGAAATCACCCCGCAATACTTCATCTCATAGTCACAAGTCATGGGTCTCAACCCACCATCATATACTCACGGCACCTCGTGCCCACATGTCGAATCACAACCGCACGAACAACTCACGTGCCAATATCTCAATCCGCCCGGCATGATCACAGGCTCACATTCACTATCCGCCCGGGGTGGTCACATGCTCACAATCACAATCCGTCCGGCATGGTCACAAGCTCACAATCACCATCTGCCCGGCATGTTCACAGGCTCACAATCACAATTTCACTCGGCATGGTCACATGCTCACATCAACATGAAAACAAGAAATACGAGAATACATGGGTATGATCAATAAATGGCAAGTTTCATACTCCTGAGTTAGTATAAGTGGCATGCTACGGTGTGTGCTTGTGCGAGTGTACTAATGCAGCCGAAGTCAACAAGTAATATCAAAGATATCGAGTACCCATCGAAAAAATACAACGAGTCACGTAAGATGTATGACATACACAAGGAAAACCACATTGTCACACGAAAATCACCAACACATAGTCCCCAAGCCATCACACATCATCCCTGACATTGCCACCTTTATCTCTCCGATAGCCACCCGTATCACTCCGTCTTGACAATATCATTAGCCACCCTTATCTCTCTGATAGCCACCCGTATCACTGCGTATAATAGTCACCCTTATCACTCCGCTCGGACAATAACACAATAGCCACCCTTATCTTCACATACATTCAACAACAGTGAGATGTCACCCTTATTCCCAACAACGGTGAAATACCAACTTTATACTCCGCATAGCAACAACCAAACCACACAACAATTCACAAATGCTAACATCACAACAATACGACGTATACACAAGTTTCCATAGGCCATAACCTTTTCAAAGATCTAACAATATCAATATTTCTACAACAAATAGACCACGGCTCAAACACAATGTGTATAAAATCTCAATAACAACAAAACGAACGAGAAAGTAACTCACAAGGAACATCACTCCCATTAAACACAACTTCAATTTAAAATAGATTAATGACTTTCGATAACCTCAATTCCAATTAATTATTTAAGGATAAATCCCGATAGTAAAAGTATTTCCATGAAATGGTTAACTTCGGATTCTAGTGTATGAATTAGGCTAACAATGAAAAAGATGGCACAAACTATTACTACGTCTAAATGCATGAGGATAACCCAGCAATAAAGGGATGTCATGTAACAATAATTTCAACTAAGAGTAATTCAACAATAAAGGAAATCACATAATGGTAAAAGTGGTAACAACTTCGAATAAAGCATATAAGAGCAAACTCGACAAGTAAAGAATGTGACATGCAACGACAACTTCAAACAAATCATGTAATAGTAAACATGACAAATAAAAGATATACCAGGTGCTAACAATTCCAAATAAATACATAAAAGAAGCCTAAGGGTCTAAACCAGTCAATTTCAACATATAAGCCCAAGTACGTACTCGTCACCTCGCGTACACGTCTTTTACAAAATACAAATAACACCAACGACTCAAATCCTAAGAGGTAGTTCCCCCACACAAAGTTAGGCAAGATACTTACCTCAAAAAAGTTAACCTGATACTCTAAAATTGCCTTCTCGTATGAAACAATCTCCGGACGGCTCAAATATAGCCAAAATAACTTAATATATTAAATAAAAACCATACAAAAAAATTTCGGATAATAAAGCTTCGATCTTTAATGAAAATTAAAAGTCAACTACGGGCCCGCACCTCGGAATTCTGATAAAATTTACAAAATCCGAATACGCATTCCGATACGAGTCCAACCACTACCAAAATTATCCAATTCTGACATCGAATCGTCCTTCAAATCCTTACATTTTTGAAAGTTTATACAAAAATTCTTATTTTCTTCCATTCAATCACTAATTTAGTGTTAAAAACAAAGGTGGAATCAAGAAATATAATCAAATCCGAATAAAGAACACTTACCCCAAACCAACACGTGAAGAACCCCTCTAAAATCGCCCAAAATCGAGGTCTACAACTCAAGATATGATGAAAATGGGCAAACCCTCGAATTATAACCATTCTGCCTAGCACTTCTGCTTTTGCAGACAAAAACACGCATCTGCATCGATCGATTAAGCCGGAAGACCTCGCACGTGCGAGAACCACTGAACACAAGACCATTCGTATCTACGCTCCATGCACCGCATCTGTGGTATCACAGATGCGGAAAGACCATCGCATCTGCGCTCACTCCAGCCTCCGCTACCCTCGCACCTGTGGCAAAGCTAGCGCTTATGCGCTTACGCTTCTGCGACCGGATGACCGCTTATGCGGTCCCTCCCTTATACAACCAAAATTGCACGTGCGCTCCAAATATCCGCTTTTGCGGCACCGCATATACGGTCCATCATCCGCAGGTGCGAAGACACCAGCATACAGGTTCTTCAGCAACTTTCACAAGGCTCAAAATGATATGCAACACATCCGAGGCCCCTGGGACCCCATTCAATCATACCAACCAATCCCACATCATAACACGGAGCCACTCGAGGCCTGAAATCACATCAAACAATATCAACACTACAAATCGCACCCCAAATCGAACTTAATGAACTTATGAGCTTTCAACTACTACAACTCGCGCCGAATCATATGAAATTAACCCGGAATAACCTCGAAGTTTGCATGCAAGTCCCAAGTGATATAACGGAGCTATTCCAATT